TACTAGAGTTTCAAGAACGTTAACAGGAGCATTGCTTACATACACCTCCAGGGAGTTGCTACATCCAGTCCAGAATGCAACAGCAGAAAAATCTCCCCAATTCCTTTGCTTTGTTGAGTTCTCAGTGACTTAATATATTGTCATAAAACAAGATTTGTGAATGCACAACTCAAAAAAACCCTGAACTACTGGATTCTAAAGATTTCAGAGATACTACCTCAAGAACTCAAACCCACCCAAACTCATGGTGACCCTGCATCGATGACCCTGCTTGTGTGTCTGAAGCTGTAAGTCATAATGTGAGAAGACTGCCCATCTGTCAGCCAGCGAGGCCCTGGTGGATTGGAATTTCCAGAGATGCAGTTGTTGGGTTAGCAGGAGAACACACAACCTACAGACTATGCCATCAGAGTGTCCTATAAAAACCAAGAACTTGAGCCCATATAAAACTCTCCAATGAAAAAAAAAAAATCACATTTCTAGGGTCCCATGGAACCCAGTCCCAAGTAAGTAGACATCCAGTCGCAAACACACACACAGTGCAGGGGTGTTGCAGAACAGACAACTCAGCTTCAAATCTGAACTCTGCAATTCACTAGCGAGGAAACAGTCTCCGTGTTCCCACAGACCTGCCTCCACGTCCTCACAGGGACACGAGGAGAACGAAGCACAGCTTGAAGGAAGATGAACCTGTACTAGGTAGGAGCCCAGCACACTGCAGGCACTCACTAAATGCAGTTATTTTCTTCTAAGTTCTCCAGTTTAAATAATTAACATTTCATCTTTTCAAATTTTTCAAATCATGAGACCTCAAAACCTAGTTAAGAATAGAGACCTACTGTCAAGGGACCCTGGTTCCTTCAACCACTGAGGTAACTAAAACGATCCTGTAAGGTCATCCCATGTGAAAACCCAAATGGTGGCCCATGTCTGAGCTTTCAGTTCGTGGAGTGGAGCTAGAGAAAGCCCGTTTTGACAAAGGCTCTGATGGGAGGACCCCATAAGTCCTCACTGTCTTCAGATACAGAAAACCTTGGAATACTTACAGAACCTAAAGAGTTCCGTCAGGACCTAAAGCTGTGAAATCTTAGGGATTTGAAAACTAGGATGTGCAGAAGGCAAGTATATTCCAAGTATATTCACCTTGACCTCACCTCTATCATCTCCAGTTTATTCTACTCTCAGTCATGCTTAATTATGAACTGCATGATATTAAGTGCTCAGATAAATGCAAATTTTAAACTATGCTCAAGCAAAATTCTGCAGAGAACATTATTCTAGAAATCTGTTCTCTTTTACAAACTGACAACCTTTGTTACATCTTATCTTGGTTGCTTGCTGCTCTGATGTTGAAAGAACTGAAGGCCCACAAATAATGTTGTTGTTCGGTGCCAACCAACCAGAAGTGAGAACCTTGCCCTGAGCCAGACTCAAGTCCACTATTACAGTAACTGTGTCAACGCATCTAGCTGAAGGGTATGGATGGGCAAATAAATTGCCACTCCCAAGAGTCTCCTACCCATCAGTGTCCTTGAGGCAAAAATTAAAACTAAAAAATTAAAATGAAATTTAAATTTAATTAAAAAACTAAAAAAATTAAACTAATTTTGGTACAGACACTAACTAGGATCCTTCATTGGGTTTCCAAGTCTGTAAATCTTGTTACCCATCTTCATGAAGCAGATAGTGGATTCAAACCTCAAACCTTTTGGTTAAAAAAAGTACAATATACCATCGTGTGCCCAAAGAATCCTAGCAACTCACTCACGCATTGCCACACTATCAAAATCAACTCATAGTTGACTGTCCATTGGGTTTCCAAGACTGTAAACTGCACAAGATATTTCCTTACACCCATCTACCCTGTACCTTCCCACCTCCCGACTAAAATCCACCTGTCAGAGTAGTGACATAGGACATAAAGGGGTGGGGCCACATCTTACAAACGGGACCATGAGGCTTTGCGTTTTCTCTTTCCAGGCAGCGCGGAGCCATGGGCATCACCCGGGACAAGTGGCACAAGCGCCGCAAGACCGGGGGCAAGAGAAAGCCCTACCACAAGAAGCGGAAGTATGAGCTGGGACGCCCGGCTGCCAACACTACGATTGGCCCCCGACGTATACACAGTTCGTGTGAGAGGAGGCAACAAGAAGTACCGTGCCCTAAGATAGCATGGTCCAAACCAAGACCCTCGTGTAGAACTGCACCGTGCTCACTGACCGTACACCATACCGCCAGTGGTATGAGTCCCACTATGCGCCACCCCTGGGTCGCAAGAAGGGGGCTAAGCTGACTCCTGAGGAGGAAGAGATTTTAAACAAAAGGCGATCAAAGAGAACTCAAAAAATACGATGAAAGGAAAAAGAATGCAAAAATCAGCAGTCTTCTAGAGGAGCAGTTCCAGCAGGGCAAGCTTCTTGCATGTATTGCTTCCCGGCCAAGCCAGGTGTGGCCGCGCAGATGGTTATGTGCTAGAGGGCAAGGAGCTGGAATTCTACCTGAGGAAAATCAAGGCACGGAAAGGCAAATAAATCTCCCTCCCATTTTAGCACAAGTATTAATAAAGGTGTTTATTCTAAAAAAAAGATGTCAGAGTACAGGCCAAGTAAAAGATGGTCTCGAACAGTTTGGTTTTTGTTTTAAATTTGTGTGTGTGTGTGTGTGTGTGTGTGTGTGTGTGTGTGTGTGTGTGTGTGTGTGTACCGTCAAATCGGATCTGACTGGTACAGGAGATTGTTCCTCCTTTCCCGGCAGAGCATCTGGTGGATTTAAACTGTGCGCTTCTGGGATTGCAGTGCAGCTTCTTGCCACTAGGCCACCAGAGCTCCCGTCTCGAACGGTTTTATCAATTACAAAGAACACTTGTATTTCAAATTTTTGCAGTTTTGTTGTAAGTTTATTTGCCTTTACATCTGATCAATGTGCCAGTTAATGGGGAGTGAGGGGGTGGGGAGAATGAGGCACCAAAGTATCTCTCAAAATCTAGAAATCTCAAAACTAGAATAGTAAAAATTACATAAATAAAAACAAACCCATGCTATCAATTTAACAAACTTTGTTATGTGCCATCGAGTCGCTTGCGATCCTAGGTACAAGAGCCCTAAACGCCGTTCTATCCTGTGCCAACCCCGCTATCTCAAACACACGCATCCCCACCACTCCAGTCACAGAATCAATCCATCTCATCGAAGGTCTTCCTCTCCTGCGCCGTCCCTCCACTCTCCCAAACATGACGTCCCTCTCCAAGGACCAGTCCCTCCTTACAACATACACTTAAAACATTTCACTGGTTATGGGTAAGAAGATGTTAAAGAACCTTAGTTTTAGAGAGAAGGCATTATCTCCCTAAAATACCGCCTCCTGCTAGCATTCGCTCATGATCCCACAGGGAATACACAAAGCCAGGCTCAAGACAAAGAGTAATTCATGAAGAGAGGGTTCTTATTACTACTATTTCTGTAGAAAAACTAATTCTAAGATCATCACTTTGGTTCAATAAATTACTTTGGCCCAGATTTACTAAAGTGTTATCCCTGCTTGTTTGATTACAGCTTAGTTCATGTCTAACTGGGAGAAAGATGTTTAAAATGAAGCACAACTCATTTTTCAAAGACACCTCTGAATTAAGATATAAAAGAGGTATTGTCTTTTAAGACCCAGGCCGCAAGATACGTGTAATGTAATGTAAAAAACAAAACATGATCCTTCTTTCGCTTTAGCATTTTACAAGAGATTCTTCCAACAGTCCAGCATAAATTGAACTCAGTAACATTTCAGTTTAATTATAACATGCTTTTTTTCTGTTATTCTAGTGCTCTAGCTCAAACTCCACTTCTGAATCTTACATTATCAGCTCTTTCACAGGATCCAAGTATTTTCTATATAAATTTCATGAAATCAGGTTAAATCACTTTAACTTTAAAATCACATGACTTTTTTAGTCATGTTAGGGATTACTAGCGTTTGCCAGTTGAATTATTAACCAGTATGGTCAGTTTCAGGGTTTTTAAAGTTATTAACTGTAGTGTCTTTGTTTGAAAATTGCAAAATTCCTTCCTGCTGTATGATTCCCTAAGACAGTGCCTTGTGTAACTATTGCAAAAGTCCACAAGTTTCCCTGATCGGGTAACCTGAAATTTGAGCAAGTCAATTATAATGAAACTGGACACTTCTTCGAAGATTCTGTGAAAAACTGCCTCATATTAGAGTTCCCATGTACAAATCCGTTCCCATTTGAGATTCTTTTTTCCTTAATATTGATGGTGCTGTCTCAAAAGTTGCTGTCTCTCCTGAGTTGTAAAAATGTGATTTTTAATGAACTTAGTGAAGAAAATAAAGTAACATTAATCTTTTCTTTGAAGCCTAGTTTGAACTCAAACCCAACTATCCCAAAGTTAGTAAAATGGTAGGTGAGCTGAGTATTTAACTATAAAACATCAAAACAAAACAGAAAAAAAAAATGACCCTGGCAAACTATAAGCAATTATTTCGGTTTGAAAAACAAAAAAAATCAACCCAACAAATCTGAAAAGTAGTCAGTGGGAAAACATTCCTGTATAGAAAGATTTCAAATTCTCCATCTGACCTTTTTCCTTTTTTTTTTAAACCCTTCAACCTGACAACTAAATCTGTTTGCTTTTCTGGCTTTTGTGGGAAACTTTCTGCAAATGTGCCTTCTACCAAAACCATTTGTAACTGTAACATATACCGTGTTAATGTTAATTGCCCGATTCATTAAGGATTACATTAAGTTCGATGTCCATCCTGCACGCGTCAAGTGGGACTTCAGCTTCTGAGCTGACCTCACTTCCATATTTAAAAGCATCAACTCCACAAATCCAAACAAGTCCGATCCCGGCCTAGGGAGCCGGAGTAGAAGCTCCAGGAAGGAGAAGCGCAGAGCCAGGCCGGCCCTGGCGCCATCAGCACAGGCCAGGCCGGAGCTGCGCCCCGCGAGTGGCGGCGGCGGGAGGGAGGAGGCGGCGCTGGGTCTGACTCACCTGCCCATTCCCCGAGCTCCGGTCCGACCACGCTCTTGTTCTCGGATCCCCAGACTCGAAAGGCCGTGTAGAAAAAGCACGAGAGACGCAGAGCCAGGTAGGCCACGGTGCCTGCGCCCAGCCAGTACAGGAAGCAGGCAGCCGGTACCACGTTCTCCATAGCTTCTCGACTAGGCCTCACAACCTCGATGAATGAAAATAACGAATGAATGAATCCAGGAGGTGCGCCGGCTGTGACAGCGAAGACCACACTTATAGGAGCAGCCCCTGCACGGCTCCAGCTCCTAGAGCCCGCCCACAACGCCATACGCGTACCGCCATTGGTGATGTCGCTTTTCCTCTCCCGGTGCTCTATCAGCTATTGGCTGACTCCTCCCGCGGCTGCCCCTCCCATGAGCACGGCCCACTGATACTCTTTCGGAGATGGTGAACACTTACCTGCCAATCAAAGCTCAGGACCGCCCAACTGACCCCAGCATTGAGCCAGTGGGCAGGGTAGCTCACCCCACCAAATAACTCTGTTCTCTCATTGGCTGTAGCTATCCTCGCGACTGACGAAACTTGAGCTCCGATTGGCCAGTCAGATTCAGTGGTTTGCGTCGTGTTTGAAGAGGGCCTGGGATTGGTGAAGCAACTACTGAATGGCGAAATTGTAGTAAGAAAAGAGCGTGGAGACTTGGAGTGGGTTTTAATTTCACCACTTGATTAAATGCTTCTTTGTCATTGTTCAATGTGCTGCTATTGCTCCCTCAATCTTTTTTAGACAAAGGCTATATATTGGCCCTTGTTTCTATGCCCGCTCCACCGCACTCATTCTTGTACACTCAGTTTTTCTTACTGGAATCTCGCTCCTGCGTTGAGCATTCAAAACGGCATAGTTGCAAATATTTACGAGTCTACGTCGAAAAGCTTGATAGAGTCCGATACATTACCTGCATTTCTAATACTGTGTTGTGCATAAAAAGTGTAAGAAGTTCGTAAATATACTAAAAGACTTTAGCTTGCTGAGCAGTTAACTTATGCAGACTTTTAATGTTCTAACTGAACCTAGCTAACACATTTAACATCAGCTACAATATCCCTAGTACCACGACCCCTTCTAAACCCAGCCTGGACTTCTTTCTGGTAGTTCTCTGCTGATGTGCTGTTCTAATCGTTTTTGGATAATCTTCGGTAGAATCTTGCTTGCATGTGAAATCAATGATACTGTTCTGTAGTTTCCACACTCAGTTGGGTCGCCCTTCTTTGGGATGGGAACAAATATAGACCTCTGCCAGTCAGTTGGCCAAGTGGTTCTCCAGATTTCTTGGCACAACTTGGTGAGTACATCCACGGCAGCATCTGTTAGCTGAAATATGTCAATTGGTATACCATCTATTCCGGGGGGCTTATTTCTTGCTATTTCCTTTCAAAGCAGCTTGAATTTCTGCCTTCATCACCATAGGCTCTGGCTCAAATGCTATTTCATTAAATTCTTCTGTATCTGGCAATTCCTTTCGATACAATGACTCAGTATATTCCTTCCATCTTCTTTTGATACCTCCTGGATCATTTAACATTCTGCCCAAAGCATCCTTGATTGTAGCAACTCGAGGTTTGAATTTGCTCTTCAGTTCCTTGAGCTTAAGAAATGCTGAACGAGTTCGGCCCTTTTGATTTTTCGACTCTAGCTCCTCGCACATTTCATTGTAGTATTTTGCTTTGTCATTCCGCGCTGCCTTTTGGAATCTTCTGTTCAGCTCTTTAGTGTCTTGGATTCTTCCTTGTGCTTTGGCTTCTCTACGTTCCAGTGCAATCTTCAGAGTTTCTTCTGACTTCCATTTTGCTCTTTTCCTCTTCTGTCTTTGTAATGACCGCCTGCACTCTTCCTGGATGATACATTTAACATCCTCCCACAACTCATCTGGTCTTCGCTCATTAGTGTTCAAGGCCTCAAACCTGTTCCTGAGATGATTCTGAAATTCAGGTGGTATGAAATTAAAGTCATATTTTGACTCCTGTGGATTCAGTTTAATTTTCCTCAGCTTCAGCTTGAACTTGCATATGAGTACTTGGTGGTCTGTTCCACAATCAGCTCCTGGCCTAGTTTTCACAGCTGATATTGAGCTTCTTCAGTGGGTTTTTCCACAGATGTAATCGATCTGATTCCTATGCATACCGTCAGGTGAAATCCATGTGTATAATCTACGTTTATGTCTCTTAAAAAACGTATTTACAATGAATAAGTCATTGATTGTGCAAAATTTAACCATTCTATTTCCAGCTTCATTTCTGTCACCAAGTCCATGTTTTCCAACTACTGATTCTTCTTCCCTGTTCCCAACTTTTGCGTTCCAGTCACCCATTATTATCAATGATGTTAGATGGATCTTAGCTGAAAGCAGAGAATACCAGAAGAATGTCTATCTCTGTTTCATTGATTATGCAAAGGCATTTGACTGCGTGGATTATAACAAACTGTGGCTGACTCTGAGAAGAATGGGAATCCCAAAACATTTAATCGTGCTAATGCGAAACCTATACTTGGACCAAGAGGTAGTCGTCAGAACAGAGCAGGGCAACACTGCATGGTTCAAAATTGGGAAGGGTGTACGCCAGGGATGTGTCCAATCTCCATACCTTTTCAACCTGTATGCAGAGCAGATTATCCGAGAGGCTGGGCTCTATGAGGAGAAGTGTGGCGTTAGGATTGGCAGAAGATCTATCAACAATCTGCGTTATGCAGATGACACAACCTTGGTCGCTGAAACTGAGGAGGACCTCATGCACTTACTGCAGAGGGTCAAGGACTGCAGCCTTCAATATGGACTGAGGCTCAATGTCAAGAAGACAAAAATTCTCACCACTGGACCAATTGGTAGCATCAGGATGGATGACGAAGAGATTGAGAGTGTTCACAGCTTCAGTTTGCTCGGCTCCATAGTCAACACTCTTGGCACCAGTAGCCAGGAAATCAAAAAACGTATTGTGATGGGAAAGTCTGCTGTTAGGGACCTCTCTAAAGTACTCAAGAGCAACGGTGTCTCTCTGGAGAGTAAGGTGCACCTGATACAAGCCATGGTTTTTGCAATCACTTGTTATGCATCAGAGAGTTGGACAATGACTAGGGAGGATAGAAGGAGAATTGACGCCTTTGAGCTGTGGTGCTGGAGAAGAGTATTGAATGTACCATGGACTGCCAAGAAAACAAACAGATTCATCCTAGAGAGGGTTAAACCAGGCTGCTCCTTGGAGGCAAGGATTCTGGGGCTTTGTCTGACATACTTTGGACATGTTGTAAGGAGAGACAAGTCTTTGGAGAGGGACATCATGCTGGGTAGAGCAGAGGGAAGGGCAGGAGGGGAAGACCCTCTATGAGGTGGATTGATTCAGCGACTGGGGTAATCGGGATGGGTGTGTCAGAGGCAATGAGATTGGCACAGGATAGAGCATGGTTTAGGGCTGTTGTACACAGGGTCACTATGAGTCATAAACGACTCGACGGCACATAACAACTGAACCTAGAAGATCTTCCTTTTACTTTATTATTGTCCATTTTCTTGTTTTATGAGAAATAAGGGCCGTTTCCAGGGGACATTCAAGTAGAGGCATGAGAACTCCCTCAGATTATTGAAAAGGAGTAAGACCACACAGCCAAGTTAAGAAATTGTGTTTGACATATATGAAACCGGCGCCTGTCTTAGGCTGGACCCTGCACCTACTTATCTTACCCGTCATGGGCTAACCCAGCAGCTACGGCATGGCGCCTGTCTTAGGTTGAAACAGGGGCCGGTGTCTCCTACCCGTCTCTGGCTGCCCGGTTTATCAGCCTGTATCATCAAGGATTTTCTTCATCTGCCATTTGCAGTCTTTGATAATGGACTTGTATGGGACAGGAGGCTATGGATTCAATCTGCTGCTTGATAAAGCGTGTAAGCCTCTGAAGTGCCCAGGGGCCAAAAGAAATAAGCAAAAGAAAGCCTATTAAGGGCCCCAAAAAAGAGCTACTGGTCTTTGACCGCGCGTCCCCTTAACTTTTAGGCCATAATTGATTGATTATACATTCTTTTGCTTTCAATTTTTTGTCACAATATGCACTAACCCAAAAACTTAGCCGTGTGGACTTCTTGTGTTGAAGCTACAGCAGAA